TATTATTACTACTATTACTACTACTGCTACCACCGCTACTACTAGCACTACTGCTATTACAGCTGTAACTGCTGTCCGCTCTCCCTTGTCCCCTGTCCCCTGTCCCTTGTCCCCTGTCCCTGTCCCTTGTCCCTTGTCCCCTGTTCCCTGTTCCCTGTCCCTTGTCCCCTGTCCCCTGTCCCTTGTCCCCCGTCTCCTGTCCCCTGTCCCTTGTCCCCTGTTCCCCGTCCCCTGTCGTCCCTTGTTGTTCCTCGTTACCTTCTGTATCTTGTTGTCCACTGTCCGATATTAACATTGGATATATCCGTGCCCCCTGAATTTACGGCCACAGCGCGTACTGTCCGAAAGGATTTTTTCAAGCGCCGTGGGCGAGCGTCGTACTCAGTTACATCCATAATTGTAGGCGCTCAACTCAGCCTCATTCCACACAAGACCAGAAGGCGGAAAATTAAACTCAGAAGAACTTACATCCCAGGAACGGTCACGCTTATGGTTTCGTTGGTCTCCTTTGGAGAACCAACCCTCACGGGACCAGGAGCTACTAGACCAGGACGCGTTGCGTCCTCCAGAGGACCAACCGTTCCAGTACCTAGTCTTCGCGAGACGCGCCGCAACTGCCTCTTTCTCAGTTTTGCGTGCTTTCCTCGCTGCAGACCTAGCGCTCTCTAAACGTAGCCTCTCTACACGAGCAGGTTCAAGCTGAAGCTCCAACTCTAAACATTGAATCTTTCCGAGGCCTTTCGGCTCAGAAGTTGTTGACTCGACTGTTGTCTTTGTCGCGATAGTTCTCGTCGTCCGTGGAGTCTGCGACTTAGCGGTAGTCGTCTTTGTCGCGGTAGTGCTCGTCTTGTTGGTAGAATCTAGAAGGTTCTTCGGTGGAGTCTGCTGCTTGATGGTCTTACTAGGCCGTTGCCGTTGTGGAGTACATTGGCAACGATCAGCACCCCATCTACCGCAGCCACCGCATTTCGATCGTGCCATATGTTATGCGACGCGAGAGGTGGAAAAGAAGACAAACCTAGGAGTAACCAAAACTGCGGACAAACATGTGTGAGGTTCACTGAAAACTGCCAAGCACCGCCAACGTTGTAGCTGAGGCCCATACCTGAAGGTTGCACGTTGCGAGCATTCAACTACATCATCTTAAATACATTTATGTGTTTGGAGCACTGTAACATATATCTACATATATATATATAGACACACCATGTATAAGCCGTGAAGAGGGATATACACTAACAAAAGAACAATAAGAAACGTTTAAATAGTGACGATATGGAAAAATACATCTATAGGACATCACGGATTTCGACTTTGTACAATCAGGGCATGCGCTACGCATAAAGAGTTATCCAACATGATAAAAGGTACGTTAATATACAAAGCAAGCCCTGTTTATAGAACTACCTTAGCGCAAAAGAATGTTAAATAGAAGAAGCAATCAAATCAAGGAGGAGGCAGTAGGAGTGTCAGAGACCGGAGGGGCTCGAGAGGGACGGGGGGACGGGGGGACGGGGGGGTCGAGCAAAAAAAGAAAAAATAAGGCCTTAAGTTTTTGTTTTGCTCGGCCCCCCCCCTCCCTCTCGTGCCTCTCTATAGTCTCTTTATTCATTACTTTCCCACATGCAATCAAGAGCGTTGGAATGTCTGTACGAAGCACACATGCCCGCGGATTAATTTCTTAGATGGATTTGATATGTAATGCACGTTTACTTGATTGTTAATTTTTCAATGAATATCATAGTGGATGTATATTTTTCTCTCCTAATCAAAACTCACCCCTCCGCGGCGTACCTTTCTGTTCTTTTAATTCATTTTTGGAAACCTCAGTTGAATGCCCCTTGGATTGTTCGCCTTAATCCCACGTCTACCACTCGGTTCGCTCAGCCTTTTACAGTGAAGTCCTGTTATGGCAGCCCTGGAAAGAGCTTTGCCTTAAAGTTCGTCGCGAACTTCGTACCTTGGGGCTACTTCGACTGTATGAGAACACCCTGCTTGAGCCTTAAGACAACTGGTTATTGTTGATGAACATTGCCAATGGTGGCATGAAAGCTTTTCAAACTGAAAAGCGACTCAGAAGTGCAGAATTCCATCATCATCATCAAGTCTATGCACTTTATCGTCTGTGTAACCTTCTTGATGATCCACCTCAGACCGCAGTTCGCTCAGTACTTCGACATAGTCTTACATTTCGCCAGTGTGCAATCCCACGCGGCCCCAAACCATTGGTCTTACGTTTTCTTGCTCATGAGTCTTTTCAATCAGCTGTTGAGCATTGGATTAGTGACATCATCATCAACTCCAAGGAGTACATGATCCCGTTTCACCTTCCCCACAAGAAGTGTGTAGCTGGAAAGCATCGATCATTACGGGATGTCATTTACAACAACATCGCATTGGCAGAACAGTGGAAGTGGGATTCACCCCCGCCATGCAATTGTGAAGTTCTTCGTGTTCACCATCCTGATGCCTGTACCGGTACCGTTGATGGACAGATTCCATCACCATTGTCTCAATTCAGATTTTGTCAACGCCTTCGTCGTCTTTTGCAGTACTCCATGGATTCACAGCTGTTTCCGAACTTGCATCACTACTTGAACACATCTTGGCCCATTGTTCAACGTTGGCTTTTCATCACAATGTATTTACGGTTACGTATGAGAACTGGGAAGTTTTTGTTCAACAAGAATGGACGCAACATAAACATGCTGCGTTCACCAGATTGAAGTACAAAGATGCTGTTTTCATTAAGAATTCATTACAAGGTCTTTTCATACATGGCAGAGATCGTGCAATTACTCATGGGCACGCATTCTGCCAACAATTCGTATGGCAGACCTACAAGAAGACCTTCGGCACATGCAGGTCTATCAGCAGTTGCCTATGCAGCCCCTACAAGCCGATGAGTTTTTACGTGCAACCTGCTCTCGACCGTTTCTTCGATGTTGCAAGTGGGGAATGAATCTCCGCACCTCTAGCCTTCCCATTGCTTACCTACTGCTAAAACAGAAGAAAGACTTCAAAGGCCCCAGGCCCATCATTTCATACATTCATTTTCTGTATGCTCGACTCTTTCGTGCCACAGCCATTGCGTTGGAAGTGATCATGCGCGCCACCTGTCCGCGTTCATTTGGTCTCGACACCCTCCCGTCCATTGTTCAGCAGCTCACCCAGTTTCTTCAACAGCTTCCAGATGATGCGCACCCCGCGGTCTTCAATCAGGATCTGGTAGGATTCTTCACTTCTATTCGTGTTTACCGCATTCTCAATGCAGTTAATATTGTATGCAACAGAAGTCTGATATGGACAAGATTTCTTTTTCTGTCAATCTTCAAGAACAAGATACAAGACTACGTATTTGGCATGGACGTCCCAGAAAGGCAGCAAAACATGCAGTTCTCATTCATCTTGCAGACATTGTGGATATATGCGAGCTCAGTTGCGATGCGAGTGTCTTTACTGTTATGCATAAAGTTTTCAGGCAGAGTCGAGGAGCCACTATTGGTAATCAGATTTCTCCGATGCTTGCTGGATGAACAGTGTCTATTGAAGAGGAGATCTATGTCCGCCACCTACAGAATTTCTTTGATTCCAACAAGCCACTTCTCTTCTGTACCATATACGTTGACAATCGCTTGGTTATCGTCCCCAACAAGATTATTACAGATCACCGCTTTCAACATTTCCTTCGCAACATCTTTTATCAGCATCCTGTAGAACTTCAACATGTTACCAGCACTGATGCCTTCGATGAGTTCCTTGGGTTTGATCTGCAGCTTACTCATCATCGATTGCAACTGCTACTTCGACCTGATCTTTGGAAGATTCGAGAACCGAATAGTGCTGGCCCCGAAAGACATCGTATTGCTGCCTTTCATTGTGCAAAAATCCACATCGAACGTCATGTTTGGCCTCCTCTTTTTCGAGATGAGCAGTTAGTACGACTTCGTCAGAATTTTGCAGCTGCTGGTTATCATCATCTCTAGTTCGCTATTGCAAGTTTCGCACCTTGTCTTGCTGTTTCAGCAAATTTTGGCTCCTTTCATCGTTGCTTTTCAACCATGCGAACTGACTCTATTGGGTCAGCTCATGATCCACTTCTACCGCTCCAAAGGTGGATTCACTACACCCAGACAGAACAAAACAGGTTCGAGCTGAGTTACAACATCGCTGCGAGGAAGACAATGCCATTCGCCGCATTCAGCAAGTACAGCTTGATTCGCTCCAAGTACAGATTCGTGACCTTGGACAACAGCAATCAGAAATTTCTGAACAAGTCACTGAGATTGCTAACACAATTGCTGAGTTATTTCAGCAAACTAGTGTCGTTCGTCAAACTGTTAGCCAAACAATGAATGATGTTTTACGACACTTCGGCAATCCTCCTGTTTTACCTCCTACACAACTTGCAGCTACTCAGCCAGAGTTTCACTCTTCATAGTTCGTTTCACCCCAACATCAATCATCACAGCAGTTCTTGCAAAAGAACTTCTTGCAGACATTGCAATTTTACATTTCATGCAGCTATCATCAAGTTGCGTCTGCAGCCATTATTTTGCGACTCGTTTTGCCCATCTGCTTGTAAGTCTCAATAAGCTGCCATGACCAAGTGCTCAGCTGACTTAGCGCAGATCGCCACCGACAACAGTCAAATACGCTTTCAGATCAATATCCCCGAGAGCTTTGTTTCAGCGGGATCTACAGATTCGTATCCGACATCCAGCCGTGCACCGTCAGTTCTGCATATAACCATGATGTTGGGAGACTCGACAGGCGCTCCATCAGTGCTCACGTACACGAGCATACCGGAGTATGGCGCCCAGCCAACACTTTTCAATTGGTACAAAATCATCGACATGTACGATTCTGGGAGCCGTTGACAAGTTTCACCTTGAATGAGCCAGGCCGTGTCGTCATTACCCAGCTTGCTTTTCGAGAGCTTTCAGCCATTTTTAATGCTATTGCCGATGTTGATATGCAGTCTTGATTCGTTTCACCTGCAATTGACGTATTCCAACGACAATGCTAAAAATGTGTGAACCTTATGCTTGGCCGTTGTAGGGACTACCGGTTACAACCGGCTTCGTGTGTGTGAAACTCCTGTCTCTAA